TTCCAAATAAAATAATTCTTAAAAGAAAAAAAGTCAGTTCTAGACCCATATGATGCCATGGAGGTAACAGTAAAACCCTGTCTGGTGGCCAGCTAGCATCTACCACTGCCACTCCTAAACCACCCTCCTCTCTGTTATGGACAAGAGTATAGCCTCTTTAGAAACTTGTGCTCTGAAGTTAAAAACAATACATCTAAAATTTTTATGTTTTGGAAGAAGGAGTAGTTTTACAAGATCTTCTTCAATTTTTTGTTTTGTTTGCTATAGTACAGATATATTAGATATACATTTCCTACCTCCTATCAGCTAGTAGAGTAAGAAAATAAAGTTGCATGAGACTAAGATTAGAGTATTGGCTTTAAGGAAAACATTCATTTTAATTAAAAAAAAAAAAAAAGATTTCCAGAGAGTGTCTGTGCTTGGCAGAGAGAGAGAGAGAGAGAGAGAGAGAACGCTCAATAATGTGCAGACACAAAGCAAACCTTTTACCTCCATTCCTCCCTCCTGGCAGGATTTGGGGCATGTGAGCACATGTGTCAGGCATGCTTTTAAAGCCACAGGATCAGGATTTGGCTCCCTTAACCACTAGGCTCTGGGACAGCACTTAATTTTTAAAAAATTTTGCTAGAGGGTGTGTTTTCACCAGGAGGGCAGAGAAAACTGAAGAAAGCATCCCCCGTAGGGAGTGGTTATACCACAACCTCTTTTCCTCCATTTCTTCCTCCTTTCTGGATTTTGGGCTTGCATACACTCACCTGGTATGTTTTTCAAGCCACCAGGTCCAGGACTCTAACTGTGCAAACGGCTATGTAGGGTCCAACTGCTTAACTACCAGGCCACAGGCTGGCCCAGCCTTTAATTAAAAAAAAAAAAAAAGTCAAGTAGTAAGATCTTCAGGGGTGAGGTCCAGTTCTATTCCATTAGAGAACTTGAACATATTCTGTTCAAAAATACTTAATAAATCCTGTTTCTTATCAACTTGATCTGTGCCTAAGCCCTTCTATTCCTCCTCCTTTCCCTGTCAAATCTCTGTGAAGGCCACCATTCTAATTCAGGCCTCTAATATCATACCTCCACTAATATTATATATTTTTAATTCACCCCTCTCTATCTTATGTATGTTCATTTCACTAAACAACTATTTATTGAGAATTTACTATATTCTAAATCCTACCTTAACCTTACTAACATTTTTTGCAAATGACAATGCATATGTAAAACCGTTTGTGCATACTCAGTAAAGTCAGATGTTCTTAACCTGAACTCCATGGCCCTTACTCTTTTTGTTTTAAAGAATTATTTTATTTTATTTAACTTTATTTATTTATTTTATTTTACCAGAGTGACAGAGGGAGAGAAAGAGAGAAAGTGAGAAAGGAAGCCTCCAGGTCTGGGACTCGAACTGCAGTTGGCCATGTGGGAGTCCAGTGTCTTTAACCACCACACCACCTGCTGGCCCCAATGGCTCTTAATCTTTTAACTTCATTTCCCAATGTATTATTCAGTCTTGCCTCTACAGCCAAAATAGTCTACTTTATCAAACAATATACTTACATTCCTAGCACCTTATACTCGTTTGGTTGTTGAACAAATGTTTATTGAGTACCTACTAAGTACCAGGCTATATTACCTTCAAATAGAACTAATATACCATTTTCTTTCTTTCTTTTTTTTTTTTTTTTGAGAGGTTTTTGCTATAGGGCGCATGCGCTCACCAGAAAGCGGGAGACAGAGAGAAGGTGAGAAATCACCCCCCAAATCTTTATCTGACATTTCCATGAGTTCCATTGTATTGTCTGAGAATGAAGAGGAGTTATTCTCTTCCCTTGGAGGAGAGGTGTTTTCTTGCTTTCCAACATTTCTTGTGACACTGTAGTGATTCCTAGTCATCTGATGGATGATGTGTTTCTTCCTAATTCTTGAAGTTCAATCTGAGCATTCAGAGGTGTGCAAGAAGAGGTGATCTACAGTATCTTTTCTGTTCTGTTTTTACTCTTTGTTCATCAGATTAAGTGGGAATAGAGGAATATTTTGACCCTTATCATATTCAGATGTTTGGATCACTTGGGTTTGTCTAGACACTCAGAGTGTGGAGGCTGAGCAGCCAAAGGATAAAGATAAAGAAAAAAAAGGAAAAGAATTAGAGAAGAGGAAAGAAGAAAAAAAAATAAAATAAAAAAGAAGGAAAAAGAAGATAATTAAAAACCTTTAGACTTTAATTTTAAAAAGCACAAAATGAAAACCATTTCACAGCTCAAGTTCAGTATCCATCTCAAGATGGGCCTGGGTTTGTGCCTTTCCTAAATGGAATCAGGAAAAGCACAAATTAACACAATAAAGGAGGGACTTGAGAGCCCAGAGAATAAAAGACCCCAAAAATTAAAAGACACAGGGAGACACAGAGAAAGAGAAATGGAGAGAAGATGACAGAGGTAGCCTTACCCACTAGAAACGAATCTGGAGGGAGAAGTCTCAGCAGAAAATCTTCATTTTTAGTCAAGCAAAACAGTATTTCACAGCTCAAGTTCGGTATCCATGTCAGCAAGCTATGCATTATTGACAAGGCCACAGATGAAATTGTTTCTGGACATTTTCTTTTTAAAATTTAATTTAATTTATTTATTCATTTATTTATATTTGACCAGAGAGAGAGAGTGTGAGAGAGAGAGAGAGAGAGAGGGAAAATGAGAAAGCAAGCCTCCAGGACTGGAACTCGAACCATGGTCAGCCAGGTGGGAGTCCAGCACCCTTAACTACCTACCATTCCCATTCTTTCAAAATATATATTTTAAAATTTTATCATTTATTTTTAATTATTATTTTTATTTTTATAAAGGTTTTTGCTATAAGGTGTGTGTGCTCACCATAAAAAAAAAAAAAAAAAAAAGACGGAGAGAGACAGAAAGCGAGAAATTACCTGCCTGGGGGGATGGCCACGCTGCGATCTCATCTCCCTTCTCTTCTAGGGATCTTGGGCACCCATGCACATGCACCTGGCATGAATTTAAGCCTTCAGGTCCAGGATCTGAACCGCAATTGACTACATGGGAGTCCGCAACATAGCCATTACACCAACTGCTGGTTCCCATTTATTTTTAATTTGACTAGAGAGACACAGGGAGAGAGTAAAAGTTAAAAAGCATATCGCCAGTTCCGGGACTTGAACCGTGGTGGACCAGTGTCCAGTGTCTTAACCACCATGCCACCTGCTGGTCCCCCACGTAGTTTTAAAAAGAATTATTTCATTTTATTTATTATTAGTATTTTTAATTTGACCAGAGAGACAGAGAGAGAGAGAGGTAAAGTGAGAAAGCAAGCCTCCCAATTTTCACTAGTTCTAAGTTATTTTCTCAACACAAAGTAATGTGGTGCAAAGTATCCTAAGCTAGCTTAGGTAAACTGGGATCTGGCTTCTAGTAGATTTATTGTGTGATCCTGAGCAAATCATGTTCAGTATTTCATCCTGGCCAAGATAACCTTCAGCTCTGATATCCTAAGCACAGGGTCACCAAACTACAGCCTGCTGGGCCCAATCCAACTTACCACCTGTGTTTGTATGGGTTGTCAACAAATCTTTTTATTTTTTTTCAAGAATTATTTTATTGGGACCAGCAGGTGGCATGATGGCTATGTTGCTGGACTCCCATGTAGTCGACTATGGTTCAAGTCCCAGACCTGGTGGCTTAACCTCACGCCGGGCGGGTGTTCATGCGTGCCCAAGATCCTGAGAGGAGAATAGAGGAGAAGGGATTGCGGAGAGGCCATCCCCCCGGGGTGTGGTGGGGAGGTAGATTTCTTGCTTTCTGTCTCTCTGTCTCTCTTTTTCTTTCTGGCGAGAGCACATGCCCTATAGCAAAAACCTGTCCAAAAGAAAAAAAAGAATTATTTTATTTAACTTTATTTATTTTATTTATTCATTCATTCTAATTTGACTGGGGGTGGGAGAGAGGGAGAGAGGGAGAGAGAGAGAGAAAGAAAGCTGCCTTGTCCGGGACTCAAACCACTGTTGGCCATGTCGGAGTCTGGTGCTCTTAATCACCACGCCACCTGCCAGCCCCCAATGAATCATTTTTAGATTTTTAGCTTTACCTTTAAAAAAAAGAAAGTTAATTTTCTTTCTTTCAGGACAGAGGGACAGAAACAGGTGCCATTGACAGGGTCTCCCAGGTTGGGATCCTCCACACTCATAGCTTTGCAGCTAGGATCACAGTACTGTGTTCTGTATTAACCAAAGTGCTGAACCAGATGGCCTCCCATGTGGCTCCAGCATTGCAGGACAGCATTGTACCATCCATGCCACCGCAGCTGGGCCCATTTTTGCCCTTTTAAAAGATTGGGGTGGGGACCAGCAGTTAGCGTAATGGCTATGTCGCTGGACTCCCACGTAGTCGACCGCGGTTCCAGTCTAGGACCCGGTGGCTTAAACTCACGCCGGGCGCATGTGCGTGCCCAAGATCCCGAGAGGAGAATGGAGGAGAAGGGATTGCGGCGTAGCCATCCTCCCTGGGGGATGATTTCTCGCTTTCTGTCTGTCTCTGTCTGTCTGGCGAGCGCACGCGCCCTATAGCAAAAACCTCTCCAAAAAAAGAAAAAGAAGATGGAGGGAATGCGAAGACTATTTTATGACACATGAAAATTACATAAAATCCTACAGGGTCACACACATTGTTTTTTCTTTTAATTTTGCTACAGGGCACCTGCACTCACTGGAGAGAGACTGAGAGAAAAAGTGAGAACGAACCTCCTCTTGGTGGATGGCCACGTTACAATCCCCTCTCCCTCTTCAGGATTTCGGGCATGCATGGGACACTCACATACCTGCTTGTTTTTCAAGCTGCTAGGTCTGGGACTTGAACCATACGGTCATGTCATGTGGAATCCAGCAGCCTTAAAAGCCACGCCACCGGTTGGCCCTCACACCCATTTATTTACTTTCTATGTTGCAACAGAGACATTATGGCCCAAATATTTCTTACCAGGACCTTGTAGAAAAAACCTACCAACCACTGTCTTGGGCTGGTAGCCTTGTTGCAACCCTGGTAATCGCTGAAGCCTCTCTTGACTCCCTCCTTGGACTACGAGAGCTTCTGGGTAGCGGCCCCTAGAGGACAGTGACCTCCCCAAAATCCTGCCGCTGCCGGGAGTTAGTGCAAGGACGATTTAAGGGCCAGGGCTCTGGCACCAGTTCTGGGTTCAAATTCTGCACTTGGGATTCGATTCCCCACTCCGTCCCAGTGTCCTCCTCTGCGCAGTGGAGAGACGAGGAGGGCTGTGAGGCGAGAGTGAGCTGCCAGGCA